CATCATTTGTAAAACGGGAGTGATATAGGTATCTTGATTGGTCAAGGCAAAGATTAAATGTGATTATGTATATATACACATATGTATATAATTGTTAATCACTTAATATATAAAAATGCTCATTAAAGTATAGCTACCACCTTCCACTTCTTCCTTGTTATCATTCCTACTTTCTAGAACACGTACTTGCAGGAACTACTGGTAAGATAAAAATACAGAATTTAGTCCTATGCAGTAAAAAGTTAGTAGGGAGAGGACATACTTTTGAATCTAAAATCCATAAGTAAGTATAACCAAAATAAATTTAATGTTGGCCAAGGGAAAACCCAAGATATTTTCTCTGAAATGTTTATTTTTCTCAAAATACCATTAGTTACAATGACATTGGAACGACATGACATTACAAAAACTCTCACCTGGGTCACATCAAATTTTGAGACTAGTATTCTATTTCTGAAATATCTGTGGAAGTGCAGTGTGAAATTTACATTCTATGAGACTAACTCCAACAGCATAGGAGCAATAAACGAAAAAAGTATGGAAAATGTTGACAATTGTTAAATTTAGGGGATGGGTATGTTGAGATTCATTATTATCTTATCTTTCTGTTTATTAGGAACATTTGAAAATATTCACAAAGAAAAATTGTATTTAATGACCATGATGACCCCACTATCTACTAAATTAATCTCTTCCCTTCTTGAACCTACTTATATTTCCAAGTCTTGCCACTCTGGCTGGCTGTGAATAAGAACTATCAATTGTGCAGAAGAACAAATACTTCTATTATTCACCCATGGCCTCTTCCAGGCTTCAAAGGTATTCCAGGTTATGGTTTTCTGGGAGTTAGCAAACAAGTCTTCATTCGCTTTACACCTTTCATATGTTTACAGATACTTTGTTGTATCCCTTCTTCGTTCTAGTCTTTCTGATGGAAAAATCCTAATCCTTTTAATCCCCGTTGCTCTGACAGCAGGTCCCTCTGTCAGTTATTGAAGTTGCCCTTCTTCAGACCTTTCTCAGCTCTGCTCACTTTCATGTGCTGCAGTGACCGGAACTGATCCACCCAGGTTACACACAAGAATAAAGGACAACCCAAACCAGAATTTCAATGAAGGGACTTTCAGAAACAAAAGCAATTTGGAAGGTAACATCGAGAAACCATAAAGAAACAAGCATAGTGTTAGAAAATGAAATTGTATGTAAAAAGATGAAAATTATCCTCATCATAACAGCTGGCAGGGTGGAATGGGGAGACATTTTTTTTTAATGGGCTAATTCTATTACTTTCAAGCTCCAAACCAAACCATCAAGGGAGTCTATCACATTAGAAAAAAACTCAAACCTAACACCATGGGCAATGGACTGGCCCCTGCCCCTGTCTGTTTTTCCCACTTTTTCTCCATCCGCTCCCACCCTGCTTACTCAGCTCCAGCCATGCTGGCCTTCCTGCTGCTTTTGTGCACACCATAACCCATTGTGACTCCAGTGCCTCCATACTTGCTGTAGCCTCTGCCAGACCACCTCTCCTCAATCCCTTCTCACATGGATTGTTTCTTCCACACATCATTTGGCCTCTGATCAAATGCCACTTCCACCCTGACCAAGAAGCCTCCTCCCCTGTTCTCTATCCTCTGACCTGCTTTATTGTGATCATGCTTTGAAAGCACAGAATGTAGTTTACCTTTCTCTGATCAGTGTCCCCCATTACGGTATATACTCGGGAGGAAGACAACTTTGAATTGGTAACTCCTGAATCCTCACATCTAGGTTAGTGCCATAGGAGTGGGTACCAAGAATTACTTGTATGAGTAAATGAATGAATATATGCATGCATCCCAGTTAAGTGGAAACTCTGGAACCAAACTGTCCGGGTTCAAATTCCACCTTTCCCTTCTGTGTGTTCTTGGGCAAGTTTTGTCTCTGTGTACAATTTCCTTATTTGTAAAATGCAGATAATTATAGTACCCACTCAGGGTTATCTTGGAAATTAAGTGAGCAAACGCGTATTAGGTGCTTAGAGCAGTGTTAAGAATAATAGCTAGTGCCCAAAGAATATGGGAATGAGTACGATCAAATGGCAAAAGGGAAAAAGAGAAGCAATACTGGCAGCCTTCCTTGAGTAGCAGGAGTTTTCTATTAAAAGACTGAAGGCAAGTATGGTGCTCCAGTGACAATCACCTACTCTGAAAAGGTGTGCTTTCAAGTACAAGGAGTCAATTACAAGGGAAACTTCCTGTTGTGTGGGAGGCTACCTGAGGGTTTTGTTTTTCACGTTTAAGAGGCATGAAATTCACAACTGCAATATCTTCCAGTTCTCAGATTAGCACGTTTGCATGAAGTATACATCCAGAGTGTAATATCTGCATATGGAACATGCTTTCTAAAGCTTTTGTGCCTGGTGCAAATAATCGTGTAACACCATTCACATTCTAAACATATTGTATGGCAAAAAGGAAAGTTGTGACATTAGTAGTTAGCCACAGCTACAAGTTCACATTCCCAAAAGTTATTTTACTTTCCACAACAGAGAACAAAGAAAAAATTTAAAAACATTAATATATATAATTTTAAATATATATAATTATATAGTTTATTCTGGATTTTGAGAGTATATAATCAGCAACAACTATAACTGCCTGCAAAATTTTTAGCTTTTGGTAAGTAAGAAGGGTCTTTTGTTTATATATTAAGCCTGCCCATTACAAGGATTAACCTATTTGTTAATGCAAACCCAGTTTAATAAATGCAAATCATGGGGAAACATACAATCCTCCTAAGAATTGGGGTTACATTATATAATCCAACAGAGCAAGAGATGTTGATAAGAAGACAGGTGTTGCCAGGCAAAATGAGAGCAGAGAGGTTCTTGACAGTTTGAAAAGTACCAAAAAATGGTCCAGGTTCAGTGGCAGCTGTGCGGACACTATAGCTTGTTACCTCCCATCAGAGCCCACTGTTTCCTGTACTTGATACTGAAGATAAGAATTATCCCAATATGTGGAGAAAACCTCTTTCTGAAATGTAACTTCTTTGGTAATCAAACATTATCATGAATAAGAACACTTATAGGATACTTCTTAAAAATAAAATAATTTGTAGGTAGCAGCAGTTCAGGAAGAGCCATGCCAATGATAATGCTACTTACTTAACATTTAGATAGTGCTTTATGTGTCCTCTACAGGAGGCCCCAAGTGAGAGATTTCTTTAAAAACATAGTGATGTTTTGTATCACTTGAGGAGAGGGTATGATTTTTCCTTCTAATGATATGAATTTAATAAATTACCAATTATTATTTCTTTATTTCCCCTTTGGCCATCAGAAAGCTTACTTATGGTTTGACTACAGCAAGTATATAAGTCCTTATGATCTGCTTATTCATGATTCTTTTTACCCCTCTAGTTTTGACTATCTGCTCTTATTAATATTTTTTACTGATTTTTAAAATTCTATAAAAATATTTTACTATTATTATATGTGGTGGTTTAAGCTGTCTCCAATCATTCATAAAATGAGATGGGTTTAGCTTAATTAAGTTGGGTCATTTTCATAAACCCAATTTTCCTTATCATAAATAACAGCCTGGAGAGGTAGACGTTATCATTTACATTTTATAGAGAGGGAAACTGAGACCCAAAGGCGTAAACACCTTGCCCAAGACCCCAAATATCACAGGGTTTTCACTGTTCTATGTTATGCTATCCTATTTCTCTAATAAAAAAGTGACTTTTATTGCTACAATATCTTCAGGTAAGAGTTGTTACTGATTTAATAATGAACTTTGTTTTAAAGTGTCACATGAATGAGATAAAATAAAATACATTTAAATTATAAAAGAAAGCATTTAGGCTAGTAGGAAATTTTTACCGATAATGGTATATATGATTGTAGAATATTAGGCATTTAGAAGATAGAGAATTTTATTTGATGAATTTTATAATTGTGTCTTTTCTTCTTTTAAAGAAAAAGGTATGCAAGAAGGACAAAATTTAGATAAAAGTTTTGCTTGAAGGTAGGAGAATGAATTATTTGACTGATACAAGATGAAAATGCTTTTTAAAAATCAGCCACCACCAGACATTACTGACTATTCATTATAGCCCACCAGTGTAAGGAGATGGGCTTTGATCTCCTTTCTAAGGTCACCAGGCTGGCTCTAATCCCAGTGCTTTGGGCAACCCTGCTGTGCTCCATCCTGCAGTTAGGTGTGTTTCCTGGACAATGGAGTCTGTGGAAACTGCCTGGCCTTGGAACACATGTGACAAAAAACCTCAAAGTACATGAGAGCCAGGATCATCACCAACTTAATTTCCCAGCTTTTTCCGCAGAGCACAGGCTCCTTTCTTTGTCTCATCTGTGTGTGCCAGGAAAGCAGTGTCTTGCCCAGGAAAACTCACCAATTGTGCCTCATTGGTGGCATTATTGGAAAAATAAGCATGAAATAAAAGAGAGGGAGTCCCTTAGAATACAAATATGCTCATAACACAATTCATTAAGTAATATCACCTATTTATGATATTCTCCTATTACATCTATGTCTGTCTACTTCTAATTTCAGCAAAAAGGTGTAAAATTTCCCTGCATTTGCTTATTTGTGTCAAGTACTGAGTTTAAAATGGCTAGTGCAAAACCGACAATGATAGATTCTACTTTGACGTTTGGTTCAAATTCAGTTTGGAGAATGCATTTCCCCTACTTGAGGTGATATGGTTTGGCTATGTTCCCACCCAAACCTCATCTTGAATTATAACTCCCAAAATTCCCATGTGCTGTGGGAGGAACCTGGTGGGAGGTAGTTGAATTATGGTGACGGGTCTTTCCCATGCTGTTCTTGTGAGAGTGAATGGGTCTCACTAGATCTGATGGTTTTAAAAACAGTTTCCCTGCACAAGCTCTCTCTTTGACTGCCGCCATCCACGTAAGATGTGACTTGCTTCCCCTTGCCTTCTGCCCTGATTGTGAGGCCTCCCCAGCCATGTGGAACTGTAAGTCCATTAAACCATTTTCCTGTATAAATTACCCAGTCTTGGGTATGTCTTCATCAGCATTGTGAGAACGAACTAATATATCAGGGAAGAGCTCATTGTTCTAAACAATTACCCCAAAGGATTTTCAGGTCTCTGTAGATAATTGTTGTTCAATTAAGTCAGGAATGGATCACCTAGACAGTTTCTTGGGCCTCAGACCGGATGAGAAGCCGTCCAGGAGAAATAAGTCAATTTGTTGTTTGTGCAACATGCATTGGACATACTTAGTGTAAATTTCACTGAGTCGGCTAGCTAGCAAGTTGCTGGGTAGGGATTTTAACTATGGAGTGCCTCATTCTAAGAGCCATCATGGTATTGCTTGTACTTTGTAAAGTTTTCAGGCTTCGTGCTGCCATAGAGAGGCTTGCAAGTACATGCTAGTTCTAAGCATTCATATGCTAGAAGTTATCAACACCCTGAATTCCCTTGTATTTTATTGTAATCTCATTTGTTTTATCAGCAGAGGAAGCTCCATTTAGAAATAGCTCCTTGGTCACATGCTGGACAAACATGGAACAGCCTATGGAACAGAACAATCATATCTCTATATTCTGTGCATTGGTTTCTTTGACTTGCCTGGTGCTGTGAGGAGGGATCCTCCTTCAAATTTTCATCCAGGTCCACGCCAACTCTGTTAAAGAAAACCGAAAACTGGTCAATCCCCTGCTGCAGAAGGAATGAGACAGTCTTGCGTGTCAGATGACCTAACCCAAACAAAATGTGTATCTGAGAAAAGATTTGGCAGAAAACTATCCTACCTCTTCTTGAATCAAAAGAACCTCAGATTTATACCAAAATAAGAACTTGAACAGCTGGGCCTCAGGATGCTGGAGAAGTTAAGCATCAACAGCAGCTCTTCACTACTGTCTTTCCTGGCAAGGTAAGCATCCCTGAAACCTAGGATAGCAGCCATCAGGAAAAAGTCCTCCATAGTCCCAAAAACACACATTCTGGAGAGAAGATGGCCTGGTACCTCGGCAACCACCCATTGACCAAAATGTCCTGGGAATGTGTGTGTCCAGCCTGGAGCAGTGTTTCCTGAGGCAGAGTAAACAGAACGTTTTTCTAGAGACTTCCCCATAGGGAGGATTCAGACTGTGGAGTCTGAGGCGTATACAGTTTGGGGGCTCTCTCTTTAAGGAAAATAATACAAAAATATAAATACAAAATTGGGAGTGAAAGTGACTCTTCAGAAGGATAAGTCACAAAAAAATTACTATGTTTTTAAAGCTGGCAACTGCAATAGACCTCTCAAAGCCCAGGACAAACACAAAACATTTTAATTAATTAACTGTCTGACACACTGCTAAAATAACTTTCTTCTGGAATTTTTGCCTCCTAACTTTGCTCCTCTCTTTATATGATAATGATTTTGTATTAGAGAATAAAAAGATAAGGCAGTCTTTCCTCTAGCAAGACTGATAAAAATTGTTGATAGTTGGAAGGCATTAAGGCACGATTTCTTACACACAGACATGCTTGCTATGTGCCTCACTGCTACAGGGTAAGGTCCCGCAAATGCAAGATTTCTGATAAATTTTATTTTATGCAATTCCCATAAGCAATGCACAGTGTACTTATCAGTGTACATGCTTTGTCATTGAATATATTCCTGAATTTCCATTTTGATGAGGCATCAATGAAAACTGCATTTTATATATCTCATGATTAGAAGAATTTTCAACAGAGTCTCCAGCCTGGCTCAATGCATCTCAAACCTTGTTTTTCCTTCACTACCCACAGACTTCTGATGCCAGGCACCATAGGACACGTTTATATTTAATTCAGACTTGTGCATTATTCCTGTAAGCCATTCCTACTCTGGGGTGGACAGCAGTGGCTTAGCCATGCACAGAAGTGACTGCAGCCCACACGAATGTATCCCATTCAATCTAAACTAAATTCACTCTCAATTCAGTTTCCCCTAAGTTGGATCCCCCAAATGCCCACAGCTATTCCAATACCATCTGATCAGAGGAGAAGTATGAGGAAAAGGCAGCTGTAGTGGAAAGAAACAGCAGTTGAACCCAACTGTGTTGAAACTATGTATTTTTTTGCAAATCCTACAAAAATATGAGACCATGGGAACACAGTACTGGGGATCTTCCCAGGGCCTTGGAGGGCCAGACCAAGTGAGGGGCCCTGAAACTCAAACTTCCTCTGTTTCCAGGGAGCGTCCCTCTGCCTGCTTCAGCTGGAGTGGGGCAGGGTGGGAGGGCTGGGGGGAGGGCTGGGGAGAGGTCTTGCCCAAGCTCCACCAGAGTCCTTCCTGTGAATCCACATTTGCTAGACATTTAGGGACTTTTCTTCAACTCTTGTTCATCATAAACACCTCTGTAATCATCTTCCAGGCCTGCTGTTGGGGTGGGGGAAGCAAAGCCACGTGAGAAGCCTCCAGTCAAGCAAATGTGTAACTCTTTATAAGGAGAACAGTAACAGTAAAGTCCCACCTGTTTAAAATACTTCTGATTCTTCACAGGTAAGTGTCTTGTGGACATGAATAGCCCCGTCTCTCTAACCAAGGGGGGCAAATTCATAGCTATTTATTCTGTGCTGAAGTTTTTGCCTTTAGGGCACTGGGAAGAGCCTCTGGAGGGGAGGAACCTTTGCTTCTTGGAGTAGGAAAACGAGCAATTTGATCTATGTCATCTGAGAAGTAACAAGAAAGGAAAGGGGAGGAGAGAGGGAAAGGATGTCAGGGAGGAGAAAGGAAAGGGGAAGGAGGGAGGAGAAAGGAGAGGGGAAGGGACCAAGGGACGAAGGGAAGAGGGGAGAACAGCAGTGTAGAGAGGGGTGGGGATGGCCTGGCTCTGACAGTGGAACCCAGGTGTAGAGGCTCCCAGCCCACTTCTCTTACGGGGCTAGGCCACTTTCACAGCTGTGTGGTGGATTAGAGCCCTCCGGCAGGTGCTGGCTGCTCCCTAGAGGCTTCATTGCTGGATAAGCCCAGATCTCACGGACGAAGCTGCTGGGCACCCAGGTTGGCAGTGAACTGAAATGAGGGTCATGGGGCTCCCACCACTGTATCTGCTTAGGGCCTTTTCCTAGGTCTCTGTCTAGAAACCTGGAGAGGACAAAAATAGAATTTTACAAGAAGCCCAACATTTAACGTTTGAGGCAGTACTGAGGCCTTTCACTAAAGTGAAAGCTTTTCTTCACAGCAGCAATCACAGAAGACATTCCTGCACAGCTAGATGGGGCGGAGGAAGTGGATGAAATTCTTTCAGTTGATGGGGACTCAGTGGAAGGCATCTCAGAGGCCTGATTGGGAAGAAGCCTGTACCTCCTCCCACATCTCATCTCAGGGCAGGTCCAGAGCAGGACAAATGCCACAAGTGGCTTGAGGAAAGTCAACCTCCATGAAAGGTGCTTCCCTCCTGGGGAAGCCAGGGTGAACATGGTCCTCGCCTGCACAGGGCATACAGTTTGGGAGGTTCAATGAGGATAATATAAAAAATGTACCACAGCTTAAGTGCCATGAAGGAAACAATGCCTTCTTTCACTTGTGATATTAGGTACTTTTGATGAAAATCTGGCTAATATATGTTTCTTGGCTACCTGCCTCCTTAAATAGGGTGTAAGGGGGATATTCTAATCTTAACTGGGGACTCAATATTGCAACTGGTCCCATAAAGTCTAACACTTGCTGCATTACAACGATTTCCGAGAGGTGTATGAACCTTTTTATGACCACAATAAATGGTCCCTGGCTACTGTCATTTTTTTTTTTTTTTTTTAAATTCTCGTATCTGCCAGTTAGATTGCCTTTATTTTTCCTGGCTGTGACAATATGTCAACATATTGTCCCTATGACCCCCACCCCTTTTAATTTATTGTAAGACTAACCCTGACAAATTTATTTTTATTTTATCTATCTATCTATCTATCTATCTATCTATCTATCTATCTATCTAGCTAGCTAGCTATCTATCTAGCTAGCTAGCTATCTACCTATCTATCTAATTCAAATATTATAGGAGGACTTACAATCACACACAATTGTTCTTATAATACCCTTGCACACCCTCAGACCAACTTCCATTGCCTTGGAGGGCAATTTTCTGCCTTTTCTCATTTGTGATATATAAGCTGACATAGACATGCATGGCACCTTCACACAGCATCCCGGGGGTATGCAAACATGCCAACTACATCTGTATCTCTTACTCTCCTCTTCAAGAAAGCAAGTCAGAATATGAAACTGATGTTATTTTAGGGTTAACCATGTATCCACTCACTTTCAAAAACTTTTTACAGCCCTTTTTAATGCATGAACATCCACTTTTGTGCACACAAGATCATTTATACATAATGAGTTTTTGAGAGGTTATTAGAAAGAAGACATAATATCGTCCCAGATTGTGGTGTTACATGTATATAGCAGCCCCCTAGGTGAGATCACAGTATGAAGTCCAACCTCCTTAGGTGACATCCAAGGGTCTTTAGCACCTCTCCCTCAATGTTAAGCTAGCTACCCTTTCTGCTCATCTGACCTGGACAGTGTCCTGGGTTCGGTAACTGGACTCGTCCTTGTTTCTGAGCCCTGGTACCAAATACAGTCCCTGAGCTCTGGCCAAACGGTAATCTGCCAGTTTCTCTCCCATGGACTGGACCCCCTCCCTCCAAACTCCAGGCTGGTATTTTGGGCCATGCTGGCTACCACTGAACTTGTGAGATACCCTGCCTGAACTCCAAGCACTGTCCTCCCTTCTGTCTGATCACCATCCTGGCCCATCCACCACGATGCCCTTCCTAGGTCTCAGATCTCCCATCACTAGAAGTTACTGAGACTTGGAGTGAAGTAGCTGTACTCCTCCAACTCTACTCTCTGCTCCCAAACAGAATCCCTTCTGGGCACCAGAGATCACCTTGTTTTGTCTGTGGCAACCCTGGCTCACCCTTTGCTCACCTGTCTGGTTATACCCAACCATGCAGGGCAAGCTCTACAGTATACATTGGCCCTAGTTGGAATCTGGCCTTCATGATTACCCTGTAGTTGTTGAAGGGTCAGTGAAACCCAGCTGTCAAGAGGATGGTTTGTAGCCAGACTGCCTGGGTTGAGAAATGTGGCTCTGCTTCTCACTTGTTTTGTGACCTGTGTCACTCACTCTGTCTCCATCTTGGTTTCTTCACTAGTACAATGGGGATAATTAGAGAACCCATTTCACAGGGTTGTGGTGAGGACTAAATGAGAAAATTTAGGACCTGTTATATAGTAAGCTTTTAAGAATGTTAGCAGCTATTATTGATATTATTATATTTCAGTACTTATCAGTGGGGCCAGAGCTCAGTTACTTATTACTTTCAGAGATAAGCCCTCCTAGTACTTGTTTCTGCACTGGGCAACCTTTGAATATATAGCAACAACCACAACTGAGCCACAGGGAGCAGCTAGTGTATAGCAAGGATTTCTGGTCTCATAGCAAAACATTGTTTCTGTTTAAAGAGGGCCAAGTTTCCTAGGTTTTGATTTTTTTTTAAATTTATTTCTTTTGTTTTTGAGACACAGTTTCGTTCTGTCACCCAGGCTGGAGTACAGTGGTATGTTCTTGGTTCACTGCAACCTCTACCTCCTGGGTTCAAGTGATTCTTTTGCCTTAGCCTCCCGAGTAGCTGAGATTACAGGCGTGTGCCACTACATCCAGCTAATTTTTGAATTTTCAGTAGAGATAGGGTTTTGCCATGTTGCCCAGGCTAGTCTCGAAGTGCTGGGCTCAAGTGATCCATCCACCTTGGCTTCCCAAAGTGTTGGGATTACAGGTGTGAGCCATTGTGCCTCGCCTGGTTTTGAATTATTTATAATTTATTGGTAGACTAGTTAGGGTAACAAGGCCACAAAGAAGGAAAAGATGGTGTCTGAGGAGCAAGGAGAAAGAAGAAAAAGGGAGGAGCTGAGCAGAAAGCAAGCAAACAAAAGGAAGGTGAAAAGGAAAGAAAGAGAAAGAAATACATTATTATAAAGAATAGGTGACCGCGGTGGATAAATAATTGTAAAGGTGCATGCAGCCTTAGAAAAGGTGAGCCGAGGGTGGAGGGATAAATAACCACACAGCCCAAGAAAATATAGAGGAAAAAATATAGAAAAAATATAGGGAAATAAAGAACCAGTAAAGAATTAGAAAGCAACTAAAAAGGCTGGTTAAAATTTTATATGATGTTTTGCATTCCTGATGTACCTTTTAATTTTAAGCAAGTTGAGTGCTGCCTCTATGGTATTCAAATGGAAATGAAGGCAAGCTTCGCACATATTCCCAGCTGTGCCCTCATACATCTCACTCCGGGTTCCTCATTTACAACGAGCATCAAGCTCCATTTTCAGAGCACAACACATCTCTTGTGCACCATAATGCACCCTCCCTTCCTATTGTGCTTCCATTCTTTGGTGAGTTTTATTAGACATATTGAAATCTCGGGATGCTCTTATACCCAACCATAGTTTAAAAAAAAATGCCCCAAAGTTGGGTTTTTCTTAGAGGGAAAGCAAGGTAACTAACAAAAGGCTCACTTTTCCCATTAAAGCCAACAAATTCCACTCTGATTCTTATCACTTAGCGCCTCTGAAAGGCACTGAAATACTACTAGGGCTTAGTTTCATCCTGTGAATTCCAGTAGTCTTAGGTGCAGTTTTGATTCTTTTGAGCCCCCTGCTGACAGGGCCTGGGTGGTGGGGAAGATACATTATTTCCTCTAAGACCTGCTTTTGATGGCAAAGTCTAAAAAATGACATTTTCAGTAAGGGAAGAGTGGCTGGATATTGAGCACATAAATTCAGCTTGAAATGGAGGCGTCTGAAAGATACCCACTGAGGTTTGGGGACTATTGCGTAGCCATGAGAATATCACTTGGGGGCCAACATCTGCGACTGTACCCTGTATTATTTGACTAAATAATCCCAGAGCTTGTGTAAGACCAACATTAATACAGTTAATAATTCAAATATTTTAATTTCAATTTGGGAAACAAGAAAATGAACTAAAGTAAGCGGAAAAACTCACTTTGGTTCATTTTGTAATTTAAGTGTGGCACAGTAGTTAAGAATTTGGACCCTGGAATCAGGTTGCATGGATTCAAATTTCACTTCCATTATTTACTACTTGCATAACTTTGAGACAAATTACTTAACCTTTGCAAATCTCAGTTTTCCCAACTATAAGTGGGGATAAGCATGTATCTATTTCATGAGCTATTATAAGGATGAAATGAGTTAATAAAATATATAAAATATTGGCTGCCATCTAGGAAGCACTCATGAAATATTAGTTGATGCTCTCCTTGTTAGTGCTGTTATTATTAGAGAAATGGATGTACCCTAAATTGAGTCATAAATACAATATAGGTTAAAGACAAGAGTGGCTTTTCCATAAATGACAGACGCTAGGATATAAAGGTCAATGATAGGATTCCTGCCATCAGTGACCCAAGATCTAATGGGAAAAACAGATTGGAAGCAAAGAACTACAGTATGGTGTGATAAGCATTGTACATTAATTATTTGAACACACCAACAAAGAGCCCAATCAAGATGAGCTATGGAGCATTTAGGTAAGTTTCATAGAGGAGATGGACACTGAAAAGTTAATGGTAAGAGAGAAGTTTAGGGGAGGGGACTCCAGGCACAGCGTGGGCAAAGGCATAGGAGAACAAAGTAGGTTGGAACATCATAAATAACTCTGTATGGCTAGACTGCGAGGGTCATAAACATGGAGGTGAACAGAGTTGCTTTGGATGACACCAGAAAGTAACATAAGGCCAAATTATGAAGAATCTTGAGTGCTATGCTTAGGAAAGCATTTTTTGTTTCTCTGTAGGCAGTACGGGGTGAAATAATTACATTTATGTTTTAGAAAGATCACTGGAAGTATACATTGTGATATTAAGAAACTGGTGGTTGTCTTCAGGTTGGGATAGAAAAGAAAAAAAAAAAAAGAAACTGGAGGCATGGAGGTCATTTAGTAGTCTATTGCAATGGTCCAACCAAGAGTTCATTAGGGTCTAACTAAGTTAGCAGTGGTGGAAAAGAAGAGATAGATTTCAGAGATATATACATGAAGGGGTGGTGAGGGCCATTGCACATGACAGGCTCACTGTGGGAAGAAGAGGAGGAAAGTATTGAGGTGTTTGAGTTTCTACTCCAGACACTTGAATGGTTCATCCTACCATTAGCCATATTAAAGAAGGAGAAGCATGTGCATGGGAATTTCCCCCAAGGGACATCCTATTAGAAAGATAAAACTGAAACTCAGGGTCAGTAAGATTGGATCTGAGCACTTCTATTGTGAGTGAAGCAGAGTCAGCTCTCTACATCGTTATCAACTCAAGAAAAATAGCAACCCCCTCAGAGTTTTGTCTAGTTGCTTGTCTGAAGTGGAGATTCTGACCAAAAGGTAAAGTCTAAGAATAAGGAAGGGATAATGAGTTCTTCAAGGTCAAGATAAATGGACTGGGAATATTCATAGAAGCTGGAGAAGGGTGTGGCATGTCAAGTATTTAAAGACACTTTGGACATCTTATTTAAGAAGGGTTAGAGGGAGAAGAAGGAAGAAAGGGGGGTTCTATAATTTGGGGACATGAAGTATGTGATATGATTGTGAGCCCCCCCATAGGAGATGAAGATGCAGAGCTGGGATGCTGCTGAGAGCAGTGGTGCCCCTCTGGGTTTCCACCACTGCATGGACACACTGTCATTGCCTGGTACTCATATGCTTTGCTAGGTCAATTTTTCTACCCCTGGGACTTGTCTACCAAATTGAAAACAGCTGGGTCAAGGATTCATGCACCATTCCTGTCCTGGTATTCCAAGGTTGCCCATATGCCATTTACTTTTCTCTTAGAGATTATGGAGATGGAATGGATTTCATGAAACTCTGTTGGGTTGACTAGACTAAAGAAGGGTCAGGTCTCTCTTTAACTCTTTGCTGACACAGTTGACTGAAAATACTAGGTAACAGCTAAGAAGAGGCACAGAGCATGAACATTAGGAGTTAGACATTCTGACTGGCTGTTCCCATCACTTCCCTGTGTGACTTTAGGCAGGAAACTGTACCTCGGTTTCCTTTTCCACAAAATGGAGATAGGAATGGTAAGTATGTCATAGGCTGTTGTGGGATAATACACGTAAGGGGCTTGGCACAGGATCTGGCCCCTAGAAAATACTTAGAAGCAGTAGCTGTTGTTCTTGTTGTGGTAGTGGTATTAATAGATATTGTTGTCTTTGCTACTTAGGCCTCCTGAATAAAAGATTTAACTGTCAAGATTTCCAGCAAAACAGTTATGTTTTACCCTTCCTCACCTGTGATTTTCCTTGTGATTTCTGATTCCAGTGGAGGCTTGTTTATGATGGAGGTTTTGGAGTGTAAAGACTAAGAGTGGGGATGTTCTGGGTGCAGAGATAAAAATGTGTGGCCGGTGTTTACATGTGTCTGACAATTTAGATATACAGTTTGGAGTGTGTAAGTGTGCTGAAAACATTATGTTCTTTGAAAAATAAACATGAATAAGCAAGTACATGTCACAGACACAAATGCAGATCTACATCCTGTGCTTTATGTTTGGCACAACTTCCCTTGAGTTTGGAGTACTTAGTTCTGCCAAGATGTAAGCTAATTTCAGGCTACAGATAAGAGTCCATTAGAAACTAGATTGAAAATGAATACACAGACTGATTTCTTTTGACCTAAGCTGCAAGCATACTGACACCCTTTGGTAGGAAGACAGATGTAATAGCTTATCAAGGCATCTGGCCTTTCTTCCCTAAGGCTTCACTCTGGGTGGCCTGCCTGGGCAATTAGGGATTTATCAGAGTCAAATGCACATCCCCAGAAAAGCCATCCTTTCAAGTGGATTTGCTTTTTAAAATTCTAGTGTTACTGGGTGGGGAGTCTTCACAATGTCAGACTGAACAAGTTATATGGGAAAAAAGAGGGGCATTTTATTACTGAATATGAAGTAGTTGTAGCAGCTTTATATGTTGGTATGAAACCATAAATGGTTGAAAAACAAATCCCAGGCTGTCAGGGGTCTGAGCAAGAAGTGGAAACCTAAAACCTGAAAATCACTGTGGTTATTTCACAGTTAAATAAACAGAATGATCTAATGCCAGAAGTGGATCTCCTTCCCTCACTTTCACTGTCAAGTGAAACGCTAAGCTATGAGGAACTCCAGGCAGAACTGTGGCCTAATCCCAGCTTGCCATTAAAGACCATGCTTGGCGTGCATCGGGGTCAGCAGTGAGATCTCAGGGTGAGTCTCCACATTGTTGCTCTTTGATGTGCTCAGGCTTCAGTGGGAAACCTGGAAGGGAAGGAGCCTTAATGGGAATGTGTTCTCTTGATGCAAGGAGCATATTCTCCCCATGAACATCATCTACAAAATCACAAGTATATTTTGACAATAAGGGGGGAATGCATGGAATATATATATAATATATTTAAAGAACCGTAAAACTCCTCTATGCAATAATCCAAAATAACATTTAACCCAGCCAAAGCAAATATTTTTGTGGAGTGATATCTTGGAAAGAATCCTTAGAAGGAAGCAACAAAGCTTTGCAAAATTGATGGATATGTACCTACAACACAACTCATTCAAAACATAAAATTCTAATGGTTGATGCTGAACTGCCCTCCGCCCCCACTCCCTTACCACCAGATCAGCTTTGCATATTAATAGGGAAAGATGGTTTATAAGATGTTTTGAGAAAGCTTCCTCCCAAATCAGGACTTTCGCTAACTGCCAATGCCTAGACTTCCTTAGCACAGGATAAAACTCTTCATTCCTCATTGAAGATTAGGCCTTACAAGGCAAGGACTTAGGAGAGGTAATATTTGAGCTTGTATTCACACCAGATACAAGTGAATCAGACTTATTCCTGAGAGCAGAAAGAGATGGGAACAAAAGCCTAAGGTCAACAGAGGTATCTCCACCATGAAGCATGGAAGGAAGGCAGCGGGTGAAAAGGGAGCTGGAGACACAACATTATTATAGTAACAGCTAATATGTAGAATCTACACTAGGTAATATTCATGTATTATATAAAACATATGGAGTTTGGGAAGAGGATTTGAAGTTATTACAACACCATGTATTTTAGTTATTAAAAGCAAAAAAAGAAAAATTTATAACCCACTTCTTTAGATTAACTATTAAAAAGCACTTGCAATTGGTTTCTTTAATAATTTTGCACCAGTAAATTTGTTGCTTCAGGCTATCCATCACCAACATCCTGGAGACGGTACAGAATTATTAACCACGTGGACTGAAAACATGAAAAAATAGCCAAAGAAGATTGTTTCACCAACACTAATGTATCACTAAAATTAAAATTAAAACAGCTTTGGGATATATAATGGTTGCCAAAACTGTTGTTTAAGCCCACAATTGGAAGCAGATTTGATTTACAATCTCTACAAATAACTGAAATCTTATTTTCATTTGGAGCAGTTAACATTCTGTAAGACCATATTATATTATAGACCATATTAAGACCAGATGCTACTAATTCACAGATGTTGTATATATATATATACACACACACACACACATATATGTACACCCACATATATATATTTCACTTCTATTTTTACTTTAGTGAAAAAAACTTTTTCCGTAGTCCCAGAAGAGAATCAAGTCAGAAATGTCTTAATAATGCATTATCTTGGTTTTTGCTAAAAATGAATAAATATCTTAATTTTAAAAGGAAAGCTGACAGAAAGACAATGGGTAAGCAAGGAAGCTGCTACTGCATGACACATAAAAAGAGAAGAAAATCATTTCAGTTTCTTGCTGAGATGGATTAAAGTAAATCACTAGAAAAATAATGTTTTTCTCTGGTCAAGTCTGCTATTAACCATTGGGCTGAAGTGCATGCTTGTGTGCATGACTATGTTAAAAAGAAATTAAATATTTAAAATTTTAAAAGGGAAAGAATTTGTGGTTAACACTAGAATTATAATGAAAACTGTACCTTGATTTTGGAATCAATGGTTTAAAATCAGGAAAGTGAATGAAAATTGGCAACAATACTATGGGGAAGAAGCTGTCTTATAGCAGAAGAGAAAGGCAAAGAGGAAAAGAGTAGCAAGAATATGTTGTAAAACAGGTTCTGAAATTGTTATGAAGACTATGGAAAGTGCACAGCATGGAAACAGAATTAGCATTAATTTGGCAGAAAATGACATAATGAAAGTTAATTGGATGCTCGTGGCTAATGTAACATTCAGGCCGTTTTGGCCTATCATTCTAGGAGATCATGATGAAAGCTTAAACAACTATTGTATATGAACTGATATTTTTCCTGACACCACACTATCCACATCCTAAAAGCAGGGCAGATAGACTATTTCATTAATTCTCTCCTTCACTCACTAATTCACCCATTCATTCATTCATGAAATACCGGTTGAGAATATATCAAGACCATTAGTATATGCTAGATATTGTGGTGGACATGAAAAATTTGTTACACTCATATATATCTTCAAAGTACATACAGTAAGTTTCATCAAACCTAGATGTAGTTAATAAGGCATACCATTACTTTACATACATCTAAGAAGAAAAATGCTGTTAATTATATTTGTGACACCATTGATTATGAGACACACTTGACTTCAAAAATGCTAAAGTGTGAAAAAATGTGCAGCTGGAATAAATGAATACCCACACAAAATAATAAAATTCTAGGGTTCAATAATAATGTCAAGCCATTACACATACTAGCCTCTGGATACTTCATATATGGCTAGTATGTTATTTGCTGTCCTTGGGGAAAAATTCAAAAGACATATTTTGAAATCTTTCAAACAAAATGTTCTTTTTATGCTTACAGATTAAAAGATAATTCATTCTCTACCACTCAGCCACAAAGAAGGAAGGAATTAGTGGCATCTGCAGCAATCTGGATGGAATTGGAAACTATTATTCTAAGAGAAGTAACTCAGGAATGGAAAACCAAACATCGTATGTTCTCACTCATAAGTGGGAACTAAGCTATGAGGATGAAAAAGCCTATGAATGATACATTAAACACTGGGGACTCAGGGGAAAGGCTGGGAGGTGGGTGAGGGATAAAAGACTATAAATTGGGTCCAGTGTATACTACTCAGGTGATGGGTGCACCAAAATCTCACAAATTACCACAAAACAACTTACTCATGTAAGCAAATACCACCTGTTTCCCAAAAACCTAAGGAAATAAACAGTTAAAAAAAACTTTTGACTGAATTAATGCAAAAAAAAAAAAAAGATAATTCATTCCCTTTTAAAATTCTGTGTCAAGCAACTTTTAGTCATCACTGGGTTGAATCAGAGCCAGGACTAGAGTGAGGCAAGGAAGACATCCTGTCTCTCAGGATCATGCAAGTGCTGAGCATTTTTATGAGCCCGAGAGTGACTGCCTCCTTAGATTTTGCATCCTAGGTACCTTGTTTGCCTCCCCCAGTCCTGATCCTGGGTGAAATAACAACTTTGTAATTGTTTTTACTATTTTACCCTTGGATCTTCCGGACTGCTGACCTTTTCATTTTTCCCTCTACATTTACTCTACTCCCTTTTCTCCACATTATCCTGGACTCTGGAATGCAGACCAATGTAGATGGCATCATTTGGGTTATCGTGCTCTTTGGTCTTGAATTGGTTTAGCCAATAGGAAGCACTGGCAGGATATTGGAAGGAGAGAGGAGAGTGAGACAGGGTATCTATTTCTTCCTTCCTGCCAGGTCACCAGGCTTGTCTGTATTCTTCTATCAAAGCCTCAGCTCCTTAATCCCTCTCTATTTACCCTACCCAGCTACCCTCTCTGGGTTCTGGTAAATATTCCCATTTGGGTATAGGTTGGTAACTGCTCTCCATTGATTCCAGTCCTGGGGTACTGCACTATTCCTTGTTTTCTAAAACCAGCTCATGTAATAGTTCCTTACTAAGTTCCTTTAATTTACTCAGCTTGAATGTGCCATTGTTTTTCCTACCTGGCAACAGACTAATGTAGAAAGCTATTCACATTAGTAAGCATGCAACAGTAAAAAGGTTTCACTTAAACTGGAAACTAAGTTTTCAGGGATTTGAAATTTCTTAAGAAATCCATAAATATAACAAATCTTAAACATAGCTTTGTTTCCAGCCTTAATGTCAGAATTGTGTCTTTAAATGTTTCTCTAAGGTACTTGAATATTCATGTACAACTTGACATAGACTGTTCCTATTCCTAGTCTGGCTCAGGTTTTCACAAGAAATTCACATACGAGTTGTGACATCTGACAATGGCAGATGTTAGGAGTGCAGATCATATCATAAGATATAGTAGGACCTACACAGGAGGAATGAAAGTGCTCCTGAACATAATCCACTTATGATGCCTTAAATCAAAATATGCTTTATTAAGTGCTCCAACTTAAACGTATGAATTCCATATGAACCAAGGTTCATATGGTTCATATGTTAAGAGTTCTCAGAAGTCTTTCTAGAAGCTGAAATTCTACCCTAGTGAGGTACATTTCACCATCTCAGATGGAGAAATCTAGATTCTAGAAATCTGGCTTTCCTGATGATTAGCTTGGTGAAATAGTTCATTTTCATGGTGAAAACACCAGTCTCAGAACTGTAAGTGGAAGGGAGCTCAGATGATACCACCCTACCAATGTCGTTTTAAAGATAAGAACACTGAGACCCACAAAGATTAGCTAATTTGAGAAAAGTTACATTGGTAGTAAGCAACAGAAGAATTAAACAGTTTTTTAAAAAATTTTAATTTGACATGCTGCCTACCTTAATGAATAAAAAGAAATTATAAAAATTTAAAAATCCTTTGGCATGAATAGACTTCTATGAGAAGATTTAAGTGTAGAAATTATTGGAACATACTTATTGCTTGAGATGTCCATATATAACAATGCAAAGTGAACTTGAAATCTACAAATATTATTGTAGTGTGGTAGAATGTGGTGTTTCTCAAACTAGCAATTTACTTAGCACCTTTGTGGTTTTTTTTTTTTTTTTTTTTTTGGTAGAATTGAAAGATACTTTCTTTAATGTTTTTCTTTTTCTGTCAGTTTTTGCTTCAGGTATCCTGGGACTCTGTTGTTGAGTGCATCTCTGTTTATGAATGTTATATATTCCAAGTGAATTAACCCTTTCATTATTATAAAGTGTCCCTTTTTGTGTCTCATGCTTTTTCATAAGTCTATTTGTCTGATATTAGTATACTACTCCAGATCTCTTGTGGTTATTGTTTGCATGGCATATCTTTTCCCATCCTCTTTCCCTTTCCGTTTCCCTTCTGGATATTTGTATCTTTGAATCTAGGTGAAATTAGTTTTTTTTTTTTTCAATTCAGTCTGACAGTGTCTGCCTTTTGATTACATTGTTTAGTTCATTCACATTTAATGGTATTGATATAATTGGATTTACTTCTTCCATTTTGCTATTTGTATATGTTTATTTGTTGATTTTTTAAAATAATTTTGTTTTTTTCTTAGTGGTTGCTCTAGGGGTTACAATATACATGTCAATTTATTAGACTCTGCTTTGGATTTATAATAACTCGATTCCAGTAAGATGTAGAAGATTTGCTCCACTCTTACTTCCTGAATCAGAAATAAGATTTAATAACATCCTTTGTGCTGTCATATATATCACATGTATATGTTATAAACACAATTCAACGTTATTGTTACTTTATATCAATCTTACATCTTTTTAAAAATTGTGAAAAAAGTATATTTACAAAGTTTTTCTTTTAATCTTTTTTACTACTTCTGTTACTCTTTATTTCTTCCTGTGAATTTGAGTTACTGTCTCATGCCACTTCCTTGTTCCACTACAGCTTCCTTTCCTTGCTCCTCATTTGTGCTATTATTGTCAAACACATATCTTTATATCCTATAGATAATTTTATATTGTTTTTAATTTTAAAAAGAAGGGAGATAAAATATATACTTATGCTGTTTTTTATAGTTAATATATAGTTACCTTTGCCAGCACTTTTTTTTTTTCACGTGGATTTAAATTGTAGTCTGGTGTCATTTCCTTTTATTAAAAAATTTTCCTTAGTAATTATTGTCAGGCAGGTATGCTAACAACAAATTCAGTCTTTATTTGGAAATGTGACTTTGTCTTCCTTTTTGAAAGATAGTTTTGCTGGGTATTGGGTTCTTGCTGTTGGGTTTTTCTTTAAGCACTTTATGTTATCTCACTGCTTTGTGGACTTCATTAATTCTGATAAGAAGTCAGATATTCCTATTATTGGAGTTCTGTGTGTGATGAATAACTTCTCTTATTGCATTCAAGATTTTCACTTTGTCTTTCAACATTTTGAGTATAATTTGTCTTGATATGGCTTTTTGTTTTCCCTACTTGTAATTCATTGAACTTCTTGAGGGTATAGATTGATTTTTAAAAATCATATTTGGGAGGTTTTCAGCTATTATTTCTTAGATTATTTTTTCTTCCTTTTCTCTTCTTCGAAAACTTCCATTACATACATGTTGGTGTTCCAAATGGTATCTCAGAGGTCTCTAATTATCTGCTCATTTTTTCTTCTTGTTTTTCTGATTATATACTTTCTGATGATGTGCCATCAAGTTCAATCACTGACTATTTCTTCTTCTAGCTCAAATATATAGTTGAGCCCTTTTAGGAGATTTTTCATTTGTTATTATACTTTCACCTCAAGAGTTTTTAATTTTTTGTATAATTTTCTTTTCTTTTTTTGGAGACAGAGTCTCACTCTGTCACCCAGGCTAGAGAGCAGTGGTGCGATCTGAGCTTACTGCAACTTCTGTCTCCTGGGTTTGATTCTCCTGCCTCAGTCTCCCGAGCAGCTGGGATTACAGGTGCCTGCCACCATACCCAATTATTTTGGATTTTTAGTAGACAGTGTCTCACCAGGTTGGCCAGACTGGTCTCAAACTCCTGACATCAGGTGATCTGCCCACTTTGGCCTCTCATTTGATAAATTAGCATTATCATACTTTCTTTTACTTCTTTAAACATGGTTTTCGTTAGTTCTTTAAACATATTTCTAATAGCTGCTTTGAAGTCTTCGTTTCCTAAGTTCCACATCTGTGCCCCCTCAAAAGCAGTTTGTATTCCCCTAGCCCGCCCCACACATAATCTTTCTTTTTTCTCTTTATTCCTGTACAAGGGTTGCACTATTCTGCTTCTTTCCATGTATATATATATTTTTGGTAAAAAACTGGACATTTTAGGTAATACACTGTAGCAATTTTGGATTCTTATTAGCCTCCTTCCCCACAACCAGGGCATGTTGATATTCTGGTTTTGTTAGTTTATTTAATGGCTTGCCTAGATAAAGTGTTGAAGTCTATTTTCCTTGCCTTGTGCAGCCTCTGATGTCACTGCTCAGTTTTCTTTCTCCTTTGTTTTTAAGTCTTTCTAAAAGTTGTCCCTGGGTCAGCGTAGCTTAATGTTCAGTTAGTGTTATTTTGGTCATAAGTTATGCTTAAGCCTCTTAAGTCAGAAGGTCTTTTCCTCTTTGCTGATGGATCTTTGTGTGGCTTGGGGAATGCTTTCAAAACAGCCCCACTTTCATCCAGGGACTAGCAGCTCTCAGGGGCATCCAAGGGGGTGTAACCTAGTACCATGTGTACAGTCTTTGGACCCCCAGGCATGAATGTGATCCTAGAAGGGCCCTTTTTATCTGTATTTTTCCCTGTTTTATCTGTTGAACTTTGGCTGGTCTGCCTTTTTGTTTGTTGCTAGTTGTTTCAAGTGCTATTAGTCTCCACTTCATTGCTTGCCACTGAGATGTCTATTCATTTCAAAACACCTGAAAGCATAAGTTCCTCACTGTTCCATTCCAAGTAAAGCCAACTTTCTTGGCAAGGCTGTGGATCTATAGACCTACCATTTTACCTCTCTTGGAGTGATAATATCTACCTTACAAGCAAGTCGTTGGGGAGAGGATGGTGGGCCCCATCTTCCTGGCTGGGCCTACTTTTGTGGATACTCTACCCTCTGAGCAGAAGCTGGGAGGGGAGGTGACAGCCCCACAGTCTTCCCAGTTTTTCCCTCCTGTAATGGCTCCTCTGCCTATAGGTAGAAGCTGAAAAGGTGGTGATTGGGTACCCAATATTCTCAGCCTG